ACTAACATGGAAAGTAAAAAATGTCCTTGACTAAATCTGGAAATATTTTTTTAGTATACAATAGTGACATTAATATTATGAGTAAATATTAATTTGGCAACTAAATAATTGCGAATTGTTAAATCTATTGTAGCAATTTCAATATGGTGATGTCTACAAATTTTTTTGGGTAACTTTTTTTTAAATGAATATCAGTTCAATTATTCTTCATTGCAGGTTCTAGAATAGAAAAAACTTCCTCATATTAAAGTTTAACAGGGAAGAGTCTCATTTTAAAGTCTCACTGAATATAAAAAAATCTGATGTGGTCAGCACATAACCGACCGCAATGTGTATTGTCTAGTTAAGTGAAAGTGTTACAGAAGATTATAAAAATGCCTTTTAAACACTTTTTTTCCAATTTTTAGGGCGTTAGTAAACTTTTAATTAAAATACCTACAAAAATTTAAATTTGGCTCTTTGCAGAGTTTTAGTTTACAGATAGAATGACAGACCGAAAAACCGAGAGACCGAAAGACCGACAGAGTGAAAGACTGACGGTCCGACGCTTCTCTGCAATAACCGCCTCCCTACTATGGGAATATCGCAAAACCTCCCTTATTGTATGCAATGTAATCGGTAAAAACTGTTGAACTTGGGACAAATTCAAAATGTCAAATGTTTCGAATATCATTCGATTATAAAATACGCATTTATTTAGTTTCCAAACAAAAAATTATTGCTCAATACATTCAAAATTTATGTGTAATCGAAATTCCAATCATAAAAAAAAATTCTTTCCCAAAATTCTTCTTACTTTTATTGAATTTTACCCGAAATTTTATTAATTCTATAATGTTATTATTTTTCTGTGAACATTTCTATGTATGCATAAATTTAGTAAACAATACAGGATGTGATTGATAGTCTACCTTCTGCATAAATATTCCAGCATTAAATGTATAGAATAAAAATACAGAAAAAACATAATGTTATTATACAGGACAAAGACACAAAAAAAAGGATATTACTAACCATAAAATATATATAAAATTTCATTACATTTTCTTATGTGTACAATTTTCAAAAAAGTTTAATTTTTATTTTTCAACCCCTTGATTTAAAACTGCAAAATTTTCTCAATTTTTTTTATTTTTCTTATTGAAAAATCAACAAATTTAATAAAATATGGTTAGTATTGTTTGTGTGCTTAATGTTGCATTGTAAACATACACATTTTTGTTGTTTTTCATAATTTTTGAACTTTATGAAAGAGAAATTGTGACGTGGGATATTTCCAGGAAAACCTGGTTTTCCGGTAGAAATTCCGTTCAAAGATTTGTTTAAATTTATGATTTTTGCTAGATAATTTCAGTAATATTCTGATGTAAAGACAGGTTGCGAATAAAGAGGTGTAAATGACCTCACATTTTTGAAAAACTACGAGAAATAATATTTAGAAAACTGTTCTAGTTAATCAGTGAAAATTTTATCGAATAAAAGGCATTTTTAATAGCTAGCTCTTAGTTTTTCTCCCGGGGACCGAGGTCCTTAGGCCCTTCTAACTTCGAGGGGTCACAAAATCCCCCTCCCCCACTGAAGAATCTCAGTTGCAGGCGAGCAACCACCTCGCACTCACACAAAAGTGATTCATGGTTTCGTCCATCCTTTTCAGATGGACTGCGAGAGGCAGTATCCAGTGAGAACCACCACCAATAGCCTCGTCCCCTTAGTCACAGGGGAGGCACAAATTTCTTACAGTGCGACAGGCTCAGGCAGCCGTTCCAGTGTTCAACCATGGCCCGCTTCTCCCATCCACTCAGGGCACGCAATACCGTTGTCCTGGGCGCCCCAAAGCATGGCTCCCTCCCTGGCAAGACCATCAGCTCTCTCATTCCCGTCCACACCGTAGTGTCCTGGCACCCCTATCAAGGTTAATTTGTTGTGCCTACCCAGAACGCTAGCTCTTAATTGTATAAAGAAAATTTGAGCGGATCCAAGCTGCAGCTTATTTTAAATTAAATGATATTAAAAAATGAGAAGACGCTCAGCCCTACGTGTATGGTATTGTTATAAATGCCTGGAACAAGTTACAGGTACTCTCTTTGATATAGTGATATGAATTATGTGAGTGATGTAAAATCGGTGCGCTACAGTATGGTTCAATACTTAGGTTCGGAAGGGGAGTGCAGAATAGACTTTGAGGAACTTTCCGAGGACAAACCACACTGGGATTACATGGTTAGAAGATTTAGCTTCGAGAAAAACTATATAATTATTTCACAAGAAAAGGATTGAAGAGACGACACCTTCATTTACACTATCAAGTTGTGCATGAGTAGTCAAAAACTACACTATAAGAATTGACCCAGAGGTTTTCGGATCGGTATCGGAGATACAATAAAGCAATTAAGTGTGGAAGCTTGGCTTCTATCGGAGCGAAGAGTGCACTCATTTTCGGTGCAAAAACTAGTGTGGGCACTTACGTAATTTACAAAGAAACTTTGGTGTACATTTTTTTTAAATTTTGCAGCTTCTTTTTATTGAGCCTTCATCCGAGGGAGAAGAGAGTCTTTTGTCAAACTCTGCGTCTGGAATAACCCATAATTTCAAATTGAATATAAAATCTCTAATAATTTATGTTATTATTATTATGTAATGAAATAATATTAACAATTTGCGCTAAAAATTGCCTGCGGTTGAAAGGTACACACTCCTTCATCAATATCATTTCAACCCTTAGTTTAAATGTGTATATTTCTTTACAGACCCAAGGATGACACTATATATTGTTGACATACATTCACATAAACTTACAATAGAAATTTAACTTTTTATTATACCTAATTTTTATATAAAAAATAATTCTGTTTTTTTTTGTTTTCTATTCTTTAGACCAAGATTACCAGATATCAAACCCCGGATGACTAAAGGTATTATGATGGTGATAAAAATCTTTTAGAAAAAGTAATTTTTTTTTCTTTCTTTCTATATTTAACTTCAATATCAAAACTTTTTCTATACATAGAATAATAGAAAAACTTATTTTTTCTTCTTGTTTTTTCTTTGAAAAATTTTTCAATTGCTAAATTCAATGGACCATAAAATGGTATCTTTAATGTTGTTATCTTCTTGAGTGCACATTTTGTTTATTTTTTTTTGAAAAGTAAATACCATTCATACTGCTCTTCATCTATACCAAGTTTTAAAGGTTTTAGAGGGAAAAAACACATTGAAAGTTAAAAGTTGGCAAAAAAAAAATTATTATTTTTAAATAGTTAAAAAAGGATCATCATACATCAAAAAAGATGCTCAAATCAAAGGTATTATGTAAGAAAATAATGAAGAAAAAACAACAAATTCTCTAAAAATAAAATTAAAATACAATTTTATTACACTATGCGTATATATGTACGTGGTTGAAACGTGTTGAAAATTAAATTTTTAATTCAAAAAATTCTCTGGCACCCTAAAATCTTTTAAAATTGAAAGAAATTATTGTTATTTCTGTATCAGGATCTAAAAATCAGTGATTTCTAAATTTATATGCAAAGCATATGTCAACACTGCTGCATAAAATTTGAATAAGTGATAATTGAATTTTTTAAGTACAGGGAGTAGAAGAATTCTTGAATATTAATGAGTGTTGTTTTTGTTTTTATTTGGAAATTTGTACAAATCTAATTTTGTATTACCCACATACTATATTGTTCATATAGTATGTGGGTAGTATAGATACACACGCAAAATATAGCTAGCTATACATAAATATAGCTAGGTAATTTGCAATTTTTTTATGTGAAACAATTGTAAATATTTTTCTTATTTATAATTAAATTCTAATTTTTATTTTATGTTTTTTTTTTTTGATAATTAATTATTATTTTGCTCCTTTAATTAATATTATATATATATACAAAATGGATTTAATTTAATTATAAGAATTCATTGGATTGCAAAATAAATTTCTGTATAATTAATTCTATTTTTAAGAATTTTCTTATAATTATGAAAATTAGGAATTCTTAATTAAATTCTTGCTGTTGTGCCTGTTATGGGTAATAATAATAAGAATATTTTTAAACTTTTGTGGGATGTGGGTAATAAAAATTATTTGAAAATTGGATTAATTTCATCTAAAATAGAAAATATTTTGCGGTGTGATTATATGGAACGATACTAGTAGAAATATTCATAAAATAATTAGTAATGAGGAATTAAAGATAAATGTTTTTTAACTTTATGAATAAGCAGCAGAAAATGTCCTGCGTTGCGCTACCCTGGAAGAAGTAGTGAATTTGTTAATACATTCATTAATAAATTGTGACTGCAATCGTAATTCTTTATTCGAGTTGAATAAGTACTTTTACTTATATTTTCTACACAAAGAAACATTTTGTGCTCAGAACTTTTACGAATAGAAAAATTGAGCGAAGTTTCATAGCCATAATGTAGAACTTCATATATCTGATTTCCTACAATTTTACTTAAAGAAGAAGCTTTTCATGTTGTCCAAGATCTCTTTTCAGTATAATCAATCACGTTCTGATCCCGATTTGCTACAATGCCCATTTGCATGCCCAATTTGGTACTATGTTTTTGAACGAAAATTCACTTTCAGTAACATTCTAATAACTTTTTTTTTGCGACCTCTTTCAATACCTGTAATTCGAAATTTGGGGTAAGACAATTTGTCGATAATTGTTCTGAACAAAATGAGTGAAGTTCTTCTAAAATTTTTCAAAGCTAATTCACAAATTTCCTAGCTTTTTTTCTGGAAATTTGTCAGAGATCTAATACTCGACTAATTTTGAACATATTGCGGTTATTTTCCGAAATATTGTCCGAAATTGGCTAATTTATAACAAGCTTTTAATATTTTTTTTACAAATCATTTCAGCAAAGAACTAAATATAAAGATAAAACTTCAAGTTTTTCAGTTTTTTGATTGCCAATATGGGAAAAACTCACAAACATAAGATGTAATTCAAAATTATAATTTATTTTTTGAAATTTCTTACCAGTTTTAACTTGATATTTTAATGTGACTGCGCAATCTTCTATCAATTGTTGTAAAGTTACGCCACGATCAGGCACTTCAAGGTCCAATAAACGTTTCATATCCTCAGGATGATGAAAATCTAGTACTTTCTCATTTCGATCATTAACTGCTTTAACATAATCCAAAAGGATATCGATGACTTTTTGAAGAAATTCTCTTGTTTCTGTACCGGCTGAAACCGTCGTCGGCAAAAGATCTGAAATGATAAGACAAAAATGTTATTTTTTTTTTAGTATACGAAATCATAATGTTCTTTTTTTATTGGAAACAATGGTAAGGATTATAATTTAAGGAAAAAACATTTCTATGTACGTATGTAAAAGAAAACAACGTAATAAATTGAAAATAATGGTAATAAAAAAGCGATATTTGTGTCATAATATTCCATAAATTTCTACTGATAAGATAAGGTAAGTCCCTTAAAATGTTGTTTACTTAATAGGTTTTTTTTTCTCTTCGTTTTTTTTTAATAATGTTCTTCTCGTGTGCACATATTGTAGTCACTTCCTTATTTCAATATCACATAACATTAAAATCTGTTATCTTTCAGTTTGAATAATGATTTAATAAGTATGTGCGTATAATGTGAAAAAATAGAGAGGCAGTGATAAAATTACCTGCCTCAATATAATATACGGGGTGATCCTACTGTAGCAGTGCTGTGAATTAGACAACGTAACCCAAACGGAATTGGAGAGTCATAAGTCATGATTAATTTATAATTTGCAAATCTTAAATGATTTTACTATTTGCGTCTTCGGTTTCTGAATTATTTCAATTTAATTTACAGATAGCAATGTTATTTCTCTATTTCATGTCGAAATTAAAAAATAATCAACATCAAGGCTTTTTGAGGTTATGAATTTTTTTATATAAATCACCTTTTATTTATTCTAAATTGCACCATTGGGAGAGCCTAAAGTTTACTGATGTTGTTGATGTCTAAGGTAATGGTCTATGGTGAACGATATATTATTTACTTTCGAATGTGTAATGATTCGTATTGGTAACAGATAGTAAAATTATCTAGAAATAGCTTTATAATTTGTGACAGAGATTGTGGAAAATAAATAATGAATTAGAGGAAATTAAGCAATAGAAGCTGGTTTGGTTTTCCTAAGCTATTTGTCATATCAAAATCGATGTCATAACACTCAAATTCAGAATAGTTCTTATGTACCTAGCAGTACATTAAGGAACATAGATCACAATGCAGCTGATTTGTAAGTTCCCAGTAGAATCTATTGGTAACAGATGCTTAGAATACAAATTTAAGTTAATTTACAATAACGGAGGCGCAATTTAAATTTCCGGACTACCGTATCGTGTTATTTTTTATGTATCCACCATTATGAACACGTTTTGCAATAGAATGAAAATTTTGATTTTGGTTTTTTTTTTTAATATGAAAAACAAACAAACAAAAAAAATCAATTTTTGCGCAATAATTTTTTTTTTTTTTGCAATTTCATATTTTGAAGGATTAAAGCTGACATTACAATTTAAAATTTTTTTCTCTTTTTTCTTTTGTAAAATATAGGAGGATACTTTAATGATTCCAAATGTATGAATGAATGTGGATTCACATTTTTTTTTTTTGGGTCCTTTTCTAAAAAGCTCTAAAGGAGATTATTTTTTTATTTTTTTTTAGAAAAAAAAAATTTTTATTACATTTTTTTTATGATTTTCGCATTATTTTGCATATAAAAAAATTTTAATAATTTGTGCCATAAAAAATTGACAATGAATTTTGTTTGTTTCTTTGTTTTTTTTAAGGAATTATTATAATTTATAATATGAAAGATAGAAAAATTTTTAAGAGACTCCTAAATATGAAAAGTTTATAAAATTCTGCCATTCTGCCAAATTGTCAGCCTTAAGGGGAAAAATTGAAAAATGAAAATAAATTATAAAAATTTGCTTTGAAATTTTATTAATTAAAATTTTGTTCATTTGAAGATTCCATAAAATAATCAAATATATATATAAGAAATTTTCAATTTAATTTATCGAGCCTTAGGTCATTTTAAAATTTTCATTTTTTAATAGCCGAAAAATATGCGAAATTTCCGATGACGCACTTCAAAATTTTTTTCTCATTATTAAAATTCATTCTAATTATTTCAGTTATTCAATTATTACAGGTCATTCCAGTACTGTTATTGAATTAGAAAACACATTTCGTTACATTGAACACAAATTGTTCAAAGAATACTCAAAGAAGGTCACCGTAAAGGTATTTTAATTTCAATATGTTTTACAGATTCGGGATTTGCAATCCAGTTACTTTGTAGTATTCATAAATACTCGTTAATAATACTTTGGCCAAAAAAAAATGGTTAAAAAAAAAAATTGTGCCACTTTTTATAACAAAAATAATGTTATCTAATACTAGAAACATGGTGCGACAATATGAAAGAAGGATTATGTGCGAGTGTATGAGTATTCTTGATCTTCGAAGAACCAGTGATATTTCGAATCTTCGAATAAATATAGAAATAACGAGTAGTAACGAGTTCGCAAATCACTATTACACATATTGTAGGTTAATAATATTCAGGATTCAACAGTCAACAAATGAGATGACCTACAAATATCCTCTAATGAAAAATGTTTGCTAGAACCTATTTTAAACTGAAACAATATAATTCTAAATTGTCAGTAATTAAACATTATTCTCGAAAATATTGTGTCAAATTCATTTAACTCAAAGCACAACTTATTATTGTTTTTAAAACTAGTTCGAACTAATAATAATTTCGAATGACCTTTCAAATGTCATCAATTCGCTTCATTCATATTATATCGATTTAGAAATTGTTTTTACATCAAATTCCAAAGTTTGTCAATTTATCACACAAATTTATTAACTTTTAAACTTTTCCAACGTTCTATTTTAAATTTTGAAACATGTGCTACGCTGGTTACAAGCATTATTAATGTTTCGTTTTTAGTCTTTCTCGTATTTTAACTTTGTAATTTTAATATAAATTCCCTATATATACCTATGTGTATGTATGTATTATGTGTAAAAACATAAATAACTCAAATGGCATGTCAAATTATTTTAATATGTCGCAAACATTTTTTATATAATTTGTGCATTTAAATACAAATTACATATTGTATACATAAATAATGTTACATACGAGTACAATAAAGTTTGCATTCTTGTTCTTCTTTCCATATGATAAATTATACTAAATTCTATATGTGAATATTAAATACCTTTTCATATATAGAAAATGTTAAAGAAATGCCCTAGATATTTTCAACAACATGTTTCACTTAATATTAAATATAAGATTGTTCAATGTATGAAAGAGTGGTAAATAAAAAAAATCAACAAGAGAGGGAGATGAAAATTAATATGAAAAACCTAACCTTACTATTTATACAAAATGCTAAAATTAATCTGACAGTATAAAACAAAATTCTTTTACTATACATACATATACATATATGAAGATTTCCGTAACTAAATTGAAAAAAAAAATATAAAAGAGAAGTAAAAAAGCAATTCTCTTCCCTTAACCTCTCTTGTTTTATAACGACGATTGTTTAGAGAAAACAGTTTTTCTATTCGAATGATTTTCCATATTCTGTATACGGACGTATAAGAGTATGCGAGTATAAACGGTTATATATATATGTATAAGTAAATACAGAAATCAACTAACAATCGTAAATATCTAAAATGTAAACCATTTAGTTACAGGATATTACATTCGAATTACAATGTCAGTATAGTAAAGTAAGAATAGTAAAAAAAATTTTTCATATAAAAATTTTATCGGATGAATGGAATTTCATTTTGTTTTCTTTTATTAGTTTTTACGTCTTAAAACCATATTTACATGAATGAGGGTAACTTACGATTTATATAGAGGAAAAAACTGTTATACATGTGAATCGACATGGATATAACTTTTTAGTAATAAGGAATGTGAGTTTTAATTGAATAAATAATTTTTTTTGCTTGTATGCAGTTATGATTCTCAGACCTTTAAAATTTCAACACTTTGCACGTTCTCGCTTCTACAACGAATTTTCACCTTAATCTAATGGTAATATATTAGTTTCTCAAGTAGGTATATGCAATATTAAAACATTTCCTACTCAAATACCAATTCCGAAAACCAATATATTTTAAAATTTTATAAATTAACTCATTTCTTCCAGTGTTCCATTATTGGCACAGGCTTTTGAATTGCACCGAAAAATAACTTTTCAAATTGGTTCAATATAATCTTAAAATCATATTCGATATTGGTAATAAACGCACTAATTGGGACGAAACGGGTTAATAACAATATTATCCGACTTCAAGTTATAATTTTAAGATCTCGAATGTACTAAAATAATTCTCGTATGTTTTCATTCAGTTACTGTCATTCATATTTCACATTTTCCTTTAAATATTAAGCTGTTATATGTGTCATGTATAAAAAATTTTTTAATTTTTAATCACTTTTTAATTTGACGCAATTCATATGTGCAGACGAGCCTTTTGATTTTTTAAAATTTAGAACAAAAGGCTCGTCTGCACATAGAACTGAGAACAAAAATTTATTTTTTAATCATCTGATAACAGTATATATGAAAATTTTATAATTACCTTGAGCTGTTAACCTAGCCGTCCGGTCAGACAGTTTATATTGATTTGGATTTATCGACATTTTCTCCTCTGTAAATAAAAATACAAGAAGAATAAAATAAAAAAATTTCTTTAAAATTACACAGAGAAAAAAACCATTTACTAAATTTTAATTTTTTTAATTTTATTTTAAAATAATTTACTAGTGAAAGCGATGCGAATTATTTAAAATTAAAATTTGAGTTGAAAATGTGAAAAAATAATTTAAGACACAGTGTTGTGCATTGATAAACGTGTATAAAAAAGTGATTAAGCTTAACTGATTTTCGAATAAATTAGAAGCAAGATGATATTGCAAATGTGAGTGAAATTAATGAATTTGACTTAAATTTGATCTGATTAACTTTCTAGTGACAACTAAACATGATCTTAAGTTTTATATTGCGTGAAATTTAATTAAATAATTTTGTCTTAGTTTTGAAATTCAAATTAGTGTTTAACAACTTACAATTTACATTGCATTCTTAGAGTCTCTGAGTTATATTAAAACGTTTCTAGAGTCTTTTTTAGTTTATGAACATAAAAAAAAATCAGAAATTCTAAATTTTTTTTTTTATTAATTTATTTAATTATTTTAATGCATAGTTAATTTAAACAAATTAATTAGCAAAATTAATAAGGTTTGCCGACGGATTTTTCATTGAAAGTTGTGCTAGTATTTAAGAATATTCGAAATTTTAAAGAGAGGTGACGTATCAAATTTTAGAGAAAGAGGAAGAAGGAAATAATAAATTTTAAGTAATTCTTTCTTTTTATTTTTCGAAAGGGGAAAGAAAAAATATACGAACGAATTTTGCTAAAGAAAATTTTTTTTCTAAACATTAACAGTAAAATGACGTAAATGACAGCAAAGCAATAACAACTGCAAACAAATGTCAATTAAATTTTTTTTATTTTTTTCGTAAACAAAAAATCTGAGAAAGAGAGAGCAGCATTTCTCTTATTTTTGAATTTCTCTCCAAATTTTTAAAATCCAAACTTTCTTTGTAGTCCAAACTTTTTAGGCAATTTATTGAAATTTCGGAAAATTTTAGAATGTAAACAAACGCATTATTGTTCTCAAAATAAGTTTGTAATACCTATGCAATTAAAATTATGACAAAGAAAATTAATATTAAAAAATTTTTAATAGCTTTTTGTTCTCTTACTTTAAGTGTCTTATAAAAATTATTTAAAACAAAAACAAATTTTTTCACATTCATGCCAAAATAATTAAAATTTCTATTGTAAAAAAAAATTTGTAGAAAAAGGGATGCAAGTTTTTAATATTAAAAAAATTAAAAAAAATTTATACTTCAAGTTCTACTCGTTTTAATAATTTTTTTTTATAATTATTTTACATTTTTTGTTTTAACTTTTGAGTACCTACTTCTGGGACACGAAAATTTTAATTAAGGTTAAAATTTTTTCAAAAAATAATAAAAAATAATTGAAATCCTAACAAAATGTATTGGTCCTATCTGGTATGTTGAAAATTTGAGAATTTTAATATTCCTTTTTCTCCCAAATCTCAAATTTAACATAGTACCTTCATAATTTTTTATATAATATAACATAAATGTATAATATATGAGTGTATTTTGTACTTCTATTAAGAAAAATGTAACAAAAAGAGAAACATCAAAAAGTTATTCTTCTATTTTATTGTTCTATATATTGGGGCACAGGTGTAAAATATGACGCCATTTTAAAATAATCGTGAATTGTGAATTTGTATATGCCATTCAATTGCAAAATATGTACCTACATATTCATGTACAGAATTTAAATGGAAAAATTAAATTTTTATTTCAATTCTACTCAACTTGTTTTTTAAAAGAGAACCTATACTAGAACCATGAATTTGAATCCCTTTTTACTTATAAACAATAAAATGCTTAATTTTTCATACTTAAATAACCATTCTTTTCTATAATTTACACCTGCCCTAAAAAAATCATTAAAAATTTTTATTATTTTATGCACATAAACAATAAATCTTTAATTGTTATTGATATTGAGGTATAGAAGATCTCAAATATTGTCTGAATTAAATCGGGCATAGAAGCCTATTGTTCTACAGAAATATGAGTATAAGATTTTGTATTGAACATAATAATGGTTAACTTAACTTTTACAATGGGTTTAATTATTGTTTAATGGAAAATCGGTTACATTCTGGATATTTGCCTGATTTATTGTTGAAAAATATTATTTTTAGTATTTATGATTTTTTATTTCTTTTGCATTTCAATCGCGTTTTTATTGTTATTAAAATTATTTGACTGTACACTAAAGGTTGTAGAAAAAATTCAATAAAATTTTGATTAAAAAATTACAGAAAATTTTTGAAATAATCATTAACATGCAAGAACTTAATGAATTTGCACATGAATTATAGTAGCATTATGTATATTCTTTACATAGGAGTATTCTGTTTCTGTATATAATGAATAATTATTATATAATGCAAATATAATTGTGTCGCCAACCTAATATCAATTAAATAAATCTATGTGGTCAACTCCAGTAGTAAGTCATCTATGTAGTATACTACTGAGAGGAAATATACCCGATATTTTGAATCTAGAACTAAAATCAAGCATATCTTGAATGATTACGTAGGAATCACAGTAGAGTAGTTACATATTAATACAAAATTCAACTGTTTGCACCTACAACTTGAGTTGTGCAAAATAAATCAAAAATTTTAATTAAAAGATTGAAATTTAAGTAACTTTGTTGTTGAACTACATTTGAATTTAGTACAAATTGAAATTTTTATAAGAAAATTTTATCCTGCGGAAATTGATTCATGACTCTGCGATTCCATTTATAATACATTTCTCCCGTTGGATATGAACACCAGTATAACTTGTAATATCAATTGTATTAATTAAATTTTAAATTTAAACTGTGCATTCTAAATACTTCACATTTTCACTATTATAAAATTTTATTAAATTAAAAATTTTAATAAATTTTCTCGATATTCTAAATTAAATATTACCTTGCCTTCCATTAAATATTTTTTTATAAATGAAATAAGTTAATAACATAGTATTAAAAATATTTTCAACATTTTCATCCGTAAAATTAAAATTTTTAAATTAGAAAACAAAAAAATTTCTCGGAAAAACTTTTAATATCGAAAAGAAAATCTGTTACGTAAGAATAACTAATACAAACATACACACACACTCACATGAAAGAAAGAAAAAGGATAAAAGTTAACGCCATTTTAATTTTGTGTTTTGGTTTTTTTATTTTCTTTTCTTCCCTTATTTTTCCTTTTTTTTTTTTTTCTGTTATCCTTAAGTAATTTTTGACAATTTGTAAAAATACTATTACAAAAATTTTACCTAAAGCTTTTTGTAAAAAAATTTTATTACTTTCGTATATACTTAGTGTATAAATGTGTGTGTGTATGCAAGTATATAATTTTATTAATAATCGTATACAATATACAAATACAAAGAAGCATGCATATTTTTAGATCCTGTTGTTATAAATACTCTATGTTCTGTATACTACATGCGTACATTTAAGTGTGTATAAAAAGGAAAAACAAAATTATATAAGAGTGAGTATATAATGTGAGATCTCCTACACAAAAATTTATGAAAAAGAAGTTTTTTTTTTCTATTTATAGTTAACATTTAGAAAAAGTTTTAGTATAAAATTTTGTTCGTAGATTATTACATAACATGCCATTTAAAATAATAAAAATTTTTCTTCAAATTTATTTCAGCTGAATAGTTTAACAGTGAAATGCCTTGGCTTTTTTTCCGAATTTTGAACAAATATTGGGGTTTTTTGGAATGCGATGTTTGTAATTTATTTGAAAATTTAAATAAAATTTTAGATTAGGGCTTAAGAATTTGGAGAGTTTTAAAATTTTTCCTTTGCAAATTTAAAGAATTTTTATAAAAATATTAAGAGTTTATTGAACGAAATTTTGGGTTTAGGTCTAATATTCGAAAGATACACTATTTCGAAAGCAATTTTCTCTAAATTGCCAAGAATACTATTGAATGGAAATACTTCTTGTAAATCTAGCAAAATCAAATTATAGAATTATTTGTGGTTTATATTGTATTTGATTTTATTTTTTTGTGAAATCTGCATTAACTTAAGTAAAACTTAGCCTTCCATGTTGTTTATGCCGAAACTTTGACAAAACATTCAATTTCATATTTTGAAATTTCAAGTTGTCAAACATTAAAATCATTTGCAAAATGTCAAAATATACGATTTTGGCAATCTAAATTTCAAATTCGTGCCATAATGTAAACACAATCCTTTTGCAAAATGTTTGCAGAAAGATTGTATTAACAAAAAATGCTTATGAATTTATTATGCTTTACGGAAATTAATATTGTTATTTGCTCTATATCATGAATTGATAAGATGTAAACGGATTTTTGAATGAATGAAATAAAAATGGATTGAGTCAGTATATAAACGAAGTCAATATTTTAACTATATATGTGAATGAAGAGATTCGAAATTACTGAAATTCATATTATTGTTTTTAGTATTAAATTAAATTTTTTAATTACAATTTTATTTTGGAATGAGTTATGCAATCAGTGAAATTATTTAAATTTTAAATTTTTAAATTATTAATAGCATTTTTTTTGGGTGTATTCAACTGGTTAATTTATTGCCGTGTCCGGTCAATTCAAAGAGCAAAGCAGGCTTTATTAGTTCTGCATTCTTACCGATATGTTTTGATGGCAGCTTCTCAAAAAAATTTGCTCAATTATATACAGTAAATTGCTTCAATAAAATCCGAATACGGAAGGAAAGCAATGTATGCATCACAGAATTTTTTTTTCAGTGTACATTTGTATCACATTAAGCATATTATTATTGTTATTTATAAAATCTATACATATATTTTCCAGCAAATCATGCAATTCAAATTATGTTTAGATATCATTCATGAATTCAGAAAAAAAAAAAAATTTAAGAAAAAAAAACAAGCAAATCCTTATTAATTCTAAAAATAATTGCAATTCTTTTCATAAATTTAAAATTAAAATCAGCTTTTTAAAAATTCGATCCTCATTTCATTTCATACAAATTTTCTTACTTTTTGAATATTCTGAACAGCCATTTAATATTTTTGTATCAAAAATTATTATTTTTTAAAAAAAAAATTATAAATTAATATAGAAATTACATTTTAAAAGTATAAAAAATATAAAAAAAAAATTCTTTAATTGTTCTTTTTTTTTTAAATTACAATTTCAATTCAATTAATTTGAAAAAAGAAAAAAAAATTATTAAAATTTGAATTTTTACGAGATTTTTTATTTTTGAAATTTTTGAATTTCTTACCAATTATCTTGCGGAGATCTTCGATGTATTGCTTTATGAGAATCACTTTGACGGTTTTTTATTGTAATTTGCTTTGTAATTTTATATAATGTTGTATTATGCGCAATTTTCTCTTGTATATATATATATATATATATATATATATATATTATTACAAATTAATTAATTAAATTGCAATAATTCTCAAAATTCTCAAGGACATTCAATGATAATAGTAATAATGTATAATGCAAAATAATGTTATGTATAGGTAGGTAATCCAGCAGTTTTTTTTTTTTGTTTTATTTTTCTCTAAAAAAAAAAATATAAATTACGATGATTTTATAACGATGATATAATGTTATGCATATATATGTATATAATGTATATATACATCTAATTTATAATTATATATATATATATAAATATATTATGTAAAGAAAGAGAAATATAATGTATGTATAAATAGAAAAATATAGAAGAAATATTATTTAACACGTTAATCACCACGAGAGTATCTGAAAAATTTTCATATGGGCCATGGAAAATCAAGAAAATTTAGTGTATCACTGAAAAAAAATTTTGTTTTTGAAAAAATGCACGAAAAAAACACTTGTTTTTTATTTCACACGTATATGACTGACACGACTCATGTAGCTGACATGGCCCATGTAGAACTTCTTAGCGTCACAGACACATATATGACTGACATGGCCTATGCAGAAATTCATAGCGTCAGACACATATATAACTGACATGTCTCATATAGAACTTCTTATCGTCAGATACATATATGACTGACATGGCTCATGTAGAAATTCTCAGCGTTAGACACATAATATAACTGACATGGCCATTAACGTATTAATAATGAAAATTTTTTTTTTTAATTTAACCCATTCTTTCCTAGCAGATACCAAGGTTACTTAGAACAAAAATTTGCTTGAAAAATTTACTTTTATATTGTAAATAACAGGAATAAAAAAATTATTATTCGATGCAATTTCAAAATATACTCCAATATTGAAATATTGCCAAAGAACGGGTTAATAAAATGAAAAATATTAAATTAAATGATTCGCCTAAAATTATGTACTTAAAATTAAATGAATTAATTTTTTTTTTAATTTCAAAATTTATTATTTATTTTTTGGTTTTGGTTTTTTATTTTAATCAATTAAATTTTTGTTTTAATATTTTGATAATGTGATTATAAAAAAATATTTGAATTGAAATGAAAATATATAATATAAATAAACTACAATAATATTAATAATAATAATGATAAATTTATAACAATATTATAGTTAAAATAAGAACACTAAAATATTAAAATTAACAAAAAAAAAAAATTAATAAATTTCTTAATTAATTTTCTGAAATAATCTCACTTTTATTAAAAATTTGTTCTTTTTATTTGAATTTTTTCAAAAATTTTATTCAAATTATGTAAGTTAATTTTTTTTTTATTGTAAGAAAATTTTTTCTAAAATTTTTTTTTTTTGTTTTTTCCCGATATAGGAGACAAGTTATTCTTTATGGTTAAAATTTTTAATTCCAATTAAATTTTATTTTTTTTTTTTATTAAAATTTATTAAAAAAATTTTTAATAAATAATTTTTTTTTCTCTTCAATATTTTCAATAATCCTTCGGTTTAGTATAGGAAATAATTTTTTTTTTTTAATATTTTCTTTTTGTATCCTTTTGTTTTTTTTCTTTACTATCCAAACAATTTTAACTGAATTTTTGGGTTGAAGTAAGGTATTCGTCTTAACGCGTTGAGTACAACTGAATTTTTTAAAATTCGTTTAAATTAAAATACCAAATTTTCTCTATATGGTTTTGGTTCTCCTCTCTTCTCTTTTATTTTTTATTTTTTGGAGAATATTTTAAAATATTTAATATAGTACCTAGTTTATGTGTTATATATGTGTATATATATATATATTTTAGTATATAAGTTAAAAATAAATTTTAAACTTTTTTATTTTTTATCTTATTTTTTTTTTTGATTTTTAAATTTTTATTTGCTTACTTTTGCTTTTATTACAATTATATTTTGATTACTTGGGTACTATTTTTAATTACTTTTAACAATTTTTTTTTTATATCCAATTCCTCACAAAAAAATATATATTTTTTTCTTTTTTGATATATTCTCAAACAAGGACGGACACTTAAAAAATTATTTTCAATCTAAACTGTCTGACGCTCTTCACAGCTATGAAAAATTCTTACAAAATTGATAAAAATGTAATGAATATTTTGTAGGATATATATATATGTATATATATATTCTTATAAATGGCAAAACAAAAAAAAAGAAACAAAAGCATATATAAGAATATTTTATATATTATGTAAAATACTTTATATATTTGGAATAAAAATACCATAAAAGCACAAAAATATTAAGATTCAAGGATAACAGAAAAAATAACAAATATTTTAAAAATTTATATGCAAAAAATATATGTATATATATATGTATTTATAAATGTAAAAAAATTTACAAAATGGAGCAACAATATTCAAAATTTATATACATATATGTATATAAGTAAATATTATGTATTTACTTATGAATATTTTACATTTATTATTTTTGTTTTTGTACAGCAGGTCAGGAGAAAAATTAAACAGAAAACAAAAGTAAAAAATTTGAAAACTTTAAATATATATGATGACGTCATAGTTGAAGCCATATTTAAAAATAGGCGGAGTATAAAAATAAAAAGCTTATATACATTACATATAATTTTTTTAAAAAAGTTTTTACATATAGTTAATAATATCCTTTATTAAGGATATTCAAGAAATTTTATGTTATATATACACGTATATATTGCTATATATACGTGTATATTATTATATACTCGTATAATATAAAAATATATGAATAGAAATTTTGATAAAATGTAATAAATGTGTATGTGTGTGTATATTTAAATAATAACAACGAAGAAAGAATTACTATTTATTTTTATATAGAAAAATTTTCATAAAAGAAAACACAAAATTTAATAAAATAAAATTAAATGGCGTTATTATTAATAAAAATATGCTTTTATGTGCTTATACGGGATATGAACATATCCCGTATAGGATTTCACTCTCTCTCTCTCTCTTTCTCTCTCTCTGGTCTTCGAAATCTCTGGTCAAATATAATTTTTTATGTGAAGATAATTTTTTAGTCAAAATTTTTTTTTGAAATTTTAAAAAATTTTCGATAAAATTTTATTTTTATAAAAATAATATTAATTAATTATAATTGTGATTTTATAAATAAAATTTTTAAAGAAAATTATTTTTAAGAATTTTTTAAACCTGCGTTTTCTTATTGTTCTACAGTTTTCTTATTATCTCTAAGTTTTCTTATGATTTACATTGTTTTTCAGTCTTAAAACCCTTTAAAAATGTGAATCAGTTAATTAATATGAAAAATAATGTTGTTGACATTATTGTGTACCTATTTATAACAATAATATGGATTATATATATTATATATACAGAATATACCATGCACGTATAGAAGAGCTCCAAATATATACAATTAAAAGTTCTTTAATTTTAAAAAATATTCTTTATGGTTGTTTGTTCAAGTTAAATTTAAAATTAAAAAAAATATAACAGATTATTATTTGGAGTATAACAGTATTATTCATAGTGAGTGTGTGTGTGTGTAATGTACAAGGTTTCTCATATTAAATACACGCAATATGCATACTAAGAAACACAGTAAAAATTTTTAATAATAATTAAAAAAAAGAAGAAACAAAACAAAAAATAAGTAAAATTACTTGGTTTTTTTTTTTTTTTATTTTTCTTTTTTTTTTTGTGTTTACTCATCAAGGACAAAAATATTAAATTTTACTATGAAAAATTAATTGAAGTATTTTATAATTTTTTTTTTTTTGAATTTTCTCGTATACTACAAGGATAAATTAATAAAATAAAGCAAAAAAAAATATTATAAACTTCAAAAAATAAGAGAGGAAAAAAAAAAGTTTTAAACAATTTCTAACATCCTTTTTTGAAGAAAATCTCATCCTTTTCTCTACAATAATTTTTTTCTGAATCCATTTAACCATAATTTTGGTTTAATTTTTTTGGTTTAAGAAAAACTTATAAATAATTTTTGTCGAATATTTTAAGTACCTACTCGTAAAGTATTGTAAAAATTCTTGAAACAAGAAAAAACACAAAGAATAAATTAAAAGAGCCTTGAAAAAGAGAGAGAGATTGAAAAATATTGAAAAATAATGAAATGAATCAATCAAAAAATCAGAGAAAGACGAAAATGAAGAGTAAGAGTCGAACTCAAAAGATATCATCATTATTTATAAATATCGAGAGAAATGGTGTGGTGGTAAAATGAGTAAATAGAGAAAGGAATACAAATTAATTTTTGTTTAAAATTATTTTCGTGGTTCCCGCAATTCCCATAATAATTAATCCTTTTAATTATTAAAGATTAAAAATTATTTTGTTGTTTTGATCTCTTTAAATATTTTAAATGCTTTCTAAATCTTTATATATAAGAATCTATCACGAAAAAATGAATTTTTAATCGTACATATATTTAAATTGCAATTAGAAAATTGGTCCGTTGAAGGTCCGGAATTAAAAATCGAGATAGGAAGGTCGGAACTCCAGAGAGTGTCCAAAGAGCTTCTGGGCGAATATAAATATAAACGTTACTGCAGCGTTACGGAAATAACAAAGAATCAAGTGAGAATCCTCACGGGTTTCGTAAATGCGCACTGTTGACTCAGAACACACCTTCGAAAAGATTTTTACCACCTTCTTTTGAACTCTGGTATGTAAAGATTTGGTTCACAGAAAAAGGGAGTTTCTGTGTGGCACTGTTTTGGAAACGTGTGAGCGGCTGCAAGAAATAAACTCTCCTAAGGTGTTTTATTTTATTGGCAGGATAGGTCTCGGGGTGATAACACGTCTCGTCATGCCTGCAGGTGCAATAGATAAAGCTAATAATGCGTTGACGTGCTAATATCACTCTGCTCTTAATCTACAATTGGAAAAGGTTTCTTGGGTATATATATATCTATCGTAACAAGGTAAAACTGCTATCTCTTACGTTTTTGTAGCCTAAATTACAGGTTGCTGTTACGCAATGAGGCAGTTGAGTAAGCCAATCAAAGAGGAACGAGCGGAACCACATGCAATGTCAGTTCTTTGGCCAAGGCTGGGTCGATCTGATGTCTTCCCCCCGAAGAGTTTGGAACTGTGATAGGTGTTATAACCGGTCATTGTCTTATTGGTGAACACGCCAGAAGGATGGCGGTAGCTCTGCGAACGATTTCTGTAGGAACTGCTGTGACGAGGAGGAAGAGCAGTTCGGATTTGGCAGAAAGTAGGGAGTGATGCCTCTGGTCGTTTTTCTTTTTACAGACTACGTACTTTACGAATGTAAATGCCAGGTACGAAGTCGGTTTTAGTGAAGTTTAGTTTAATCGGTTTTTGTGAAGGCGGGCATTTTGCGGGTGTGGCGGTGTCGATATAAACTAACCTAACCTTAGGGTAAATTATGTGTTTATGGTTTTCAAAATTTTTCTTATATATACCAAAAAAGTTTTGATGAAGTTCTTAAAAAATCTCTTTCAAAAGAACAAATTGCTTAAAATTTAATAAATTTTATTAACTATTTAAAATATTGATTTTATTTCGGATTTGTATTTGTAAATTCTTTTGTATTTGGGTTTCAAATTCTAATATGATCTTGTTTATGTATATATATATATATACACAAAAATGTATGTACACATGTAAAAAAAAATTTTATAGTTCATATTTTGACAGCATCAAAAAATATTTTTGTTTTTTTTTTCTTCAGTTTCGAATAAATCTAAAACTATCATTAACTAAAATTTTTGTTCCCTATGATTAAAATCTGGAAGTTTTTTTTGTTGTCTGGATTGAAATTTACAATTTTTTGTCCAAATATTTTGGTTTTATAAATTTGAACAAAAAAAAAAAATAAATTCCTATCTGGGCCACAAAATGTATATGTACAATTTGTATGTATGTATGTATATGCAATGTGTAATTGTAGATCTATTTAAATACTTTAATATTAAGGATGTAGATGTAGGCTCATTGATAAAAGTCTTTTACAATTAAACAAAAAAATTTAGTTTTGATTAGTGAAATCATGAAGGACAAAGACTGCCCTTGAAATGACTTAGCAATAATTTCTATTTTGAATGAAAGTATTTTAAATTGACCATTTTAATATTAAATATTTCGATTCTAAGATGATTGGAAATTTATATTTCAACTCAAGTACTTGAAATTTAATTGTGTTTTACAAATTGTACCCAAAACGGGAAAAATATGCTTAAGAACAATTTATTTTAATAAAGGAATCATTTGCGACATTTAATTCGGGAATTATTCAGAAAATTCAATGTCATGTGGGTTAAAAATAATTTTATTATATAGAAAATTTTGAAGAGAAAGTAAAATTTTCGGTTAATATAGTCACAAGATTTAAGCATTAAAGCAATTTTAAAGGTTTACTTACAGCTTTGGGTCAATTTACAAATTAGTTTTATCGTATTCCCTTTTAGTTCTGCCGGGACGACAAGGAAACAACCATACACATTCCGTGGGAGCTCTGGCTATTAGGAGATGCAGATGGTTTTGGGAGGAGCTTTATCAATGTTGGGCGGCTCACGTCCAACTCCCTGAGGGATATCTTCAGGTATTTGATTGAAACCGGGGTAGTTTAAGTGAGATATGGGAGGACTACAATAAGCCATGACTGGCTGTGGTGGATTAAGAGGAGCAATTCCTTTGCCCATGTCATTCTTGAGCTTAATTTGAATAAAATATTGCGTAAATTAAAAATTTTCTTTTAGAGAATGACAAAATTACAAGATCTATATATTCATCAAAATTTATTTTTACATCTACATAAATTAGTTGAAACTTTTACCCTTCAAGTATACAAAATCATTATGTTATACAAGTATATATTATAGAAAAAAAGTGATATATAAATTAAAATTTTAGAAGATTTATGTAAAAAGAAGAAGACATTAATATCTTAATCGCCTACGATCCTGACAACTAAATAAATTTTTTTAAAATTCAAGTATGCACAAGAAAAACAAATTTTTTGTTCGTAAAGTACAAAAAGTTAAGTACAAAATGAATTTGTTTACTCAACTTGTAATTTTTATGAATT